AAAAAAACATTGATAGTACACAACACAGCATGGTAAAAATGCTGTCAAATAGTAACATTTTGCTGGTTTTTGTAGGCCACCACAGGAATAGTATGTTGGCGAGAAAATGGACGTGGAAGGAAGACGGCTCCTCAGTTGCTCCAAAGTAGTGCGTTTACGAAACAATAGCGGTAGATTTAAATTGGAGGAGAAGAGGTCAAGAGGTTCCTGCGCATTTCAGCGCTCACTCACTGAGGATAGTAGTTACGCTTTGCGAGGAATTCGTACCAATAAAAATCTGAACTTTTTTTTGGGATGGCCTACTGCTTTTTCCTCACGAATTTGCTAATGTACAATAGTATTCGAGATTTTCGAATTAAGAAAGCAAACAAAAAACTAGTGTTTTTCAAAAAAGTAAGAAAACAAGGTATGTTTGTGTCTGCGTTACACGATGAAGAGTAAAACTTATTTTCTTGGGCGCGCAATACAGACACTTAGGATTTTTTGCTTGCATGAAAACAAGGGATTTGTTTTAGTGCGCATTCCTAACGTGGCTCGGCAGAGGCCTCGACTGCTTTTAAAGTGTTGCTGTTATTTTATTTTAGAAAAATACGTTCTTTGTGCAGGAATTTTTCGCCGCCAAGGATGCGATTTTCAGGTGTGGCTCCATACCGAGAACAGTTTGGACCGCCTGCAGTAGCGCAATCGCTAATGCCCCCGTCGGATCAGAGACCTGCAGAAGTTGCACCCTCTGCAGAAGCAGGCGAACCAGAGCACTTTCAAAGTGGCGATGAGAAGGAATATTTATGGATTCAGAAGTGATTGTCACCACTATATTTTTGGCAAAATGTTAAATAAATCTAACAGCGAGTAAAAGCTTTTCTTGGCTACTAATTTTGTAGCTGGTGGGCAGTGAAACAATAGAAGCAGTGGGAGGGCAGTTAGAGGAGGGAAAACAGAAAGAAAAAACGCAGGAAAACCTGCTCTTCCTTTTTCCATAAGCCTCTTCTGTAATGCATCAAAAAGATACAAAGAAATACTTATATAAAAAATTTCATACTTCTATTTTTTTAACACTCTCAGCTAATATGATAAAAGCCTTTTGAAAGGAATGAATTTTTTGTCAAGACTTCTAAAAGATTTCCTTTTTCAGTGAAGTTTTTTGAAAATATGTGAAAAAACTTTGGTTACTTCATTAAATGTGGTCATAGTTTTGACCACAAACTTCCTTCTCACTGAGATCCCTGTTGATTTTTTAAATTATAATCAAAGTATAGCTTAGACGCAATCAGCAAAAGCAAGCAGGCAGGCAGTTTGCACAGGATCACTAAATTCGTTTATCAGCCGACAAATCCAGAACTGACACATCGGCCCAAGTGACACATCATGCCCGGCGGACAGACGCCATGCGAACATGCTGCAATCTTTTTTTTTAGTTATCCTAATTTTTAAAACATTTTCACAATTGGGAAGCGTAGTTTATTCATCGTCTCACGTCCCTGCTTACCTTTTGTATTGATTCATTATCGAACAATAATTTTTTGATGAATCTATCAGTTTCATTACTCCAGCATTAGATTACTCGATGAAAGCTAATAATACATAATTGGGAACGAGAAAAATTTTACTGGTTACCGAAAAGATAAAAAAACAGAAGCGCTACTCACCAAATGTTGATGTGACAGCGTTCCTAACACAGAAGCCGTTGACACAATAGTGTCCTATAGGGCACTGGATACCTGTCGAACAAGCTGGAACCGATCGAATTATAGCAGCCAAATGGTAAATTACTGCCAAATGGTAACTTATATTTAGTTTTTCTCGACGGAATTTCTAAGAAGCTTCCTTGTTGAGCAGAGAAGCTTCCTTGAGAAACTTCCTATATGATGAAAATTCGACATGTAGAGGAAGATCCAGTCAGTTTGCAATCTGTGTTTCTACACGAAATGATCGATATAGAAGTGATCAGTTTGCTCTACAGACTTCGAGAATGTTCTGTGTTTGTGAATGATGTGCGTGAGGAATAATCAGAATGTTTGAAGGATAGATACGGTCTGCTAGACAGAGGGAAAACGACTGGTTGGGGAGGAATGAGTTGGACGAATCGAATATTTTGAGGATCTCTGGTAAGAGCTAGGCGAAGAGTAGGGAAAGAATCGTCCGGGATTGGAGACGATGTGTGTCGAAGTTGGTGAAAGAACTGGGTGTATTGGCACATCGCGCACCGTTTCTTGAAAAGTGTTGCGTGCGTCACTTCGTACTATATTTAGAATAACGTGTTCCGCTTTTTATTTGTGTTTCATGTGGTTAAAATTATTTTCATTTATGTTTCATGCTTCTAGCTGCCCGTGAAAAATTTTTTGGGTTCAGAAATTGTTAGATCGCCACATGCGGGTGAAATATTTTCATTCTCCAGCTTGGTAACCACGCGACTTCTCCAAAGTATTGACAAAGCCACCTACAGTTTGAGCACCTTTATCTTTTTTTTTTCTGGAACTCCTGAACACGTAGAAGCAGTCACTCAAATATACTTACACAGAAGCAAAGGTTGATTCTGGCTTCCAGTGTAAGCAATATTACTCTGCGAACAGAAACCATTGACGCATATCTGACCATTGAGACACTGCTGAATTATGCTGCACGGCTGTGTCCCTGAAGCAATTAAGTTAGTTTTCTGGATATGCAAATCACTCATTATCCCGAAACTACTTCTTCCACGCCTATTTGATTGAAATTTATTACCTAAGCTGGAACGCACCAGGCGAGCCGGAGCGATCATGCGTTTTTGCACAAAACTTGAATTGGG